CTTATATTGGTTACCAATTTTAAGTAAAATTCTATTAAAACTGGAATAGATTCAATTTTTTTTTTTGTAACGGTTTCAAGCTTTGGGTTTGTGTAATATTTATAAATTGATAAGAAATTTTTTTGCAGAATTATTTTAATAATGAACGTGTTTTATCAATTAATTCAATGAAATTATTAAGTTCAACATTAATTCTATTAATTTCTTTATTTATTATGTGCTATTTTAATAGTTATCTTGAAAATCAAGTAAGAGAGCAAAATCAAGTAAATTATATGTTGATATAAATTTAATATAAGTATTCTTTTATGTTTTAAAATATTTTTAAAACAACTATGTATAGTTCTTGACAAAAATGTGTTAACGAACGAATGACGTCCCATGTTTAAAGTATGTAAAAATTATAATAAATATAGTTAAAATGATATTTGATTATATTTAATGAAATATTTATCTGTAAATGTAGCTATTTTTAAATGTTTTGATATAACAGTTCATTGTGCCCGTTCCTAAAATTTGCAGTACACCAAGAATAACTTTTTTAGAAAAATTTTCCTCGTTCCCCGTAAATGGTGGAAACTTCCAAAACATTACGAATATAAAAATCGCTAATTTTCGAAATTTTTAAAAAATTTTTTACTAAAAACTGCCATAACTTTTTCAAAAATAAACATATCTATATAATTTTTTTTTTTTATAGTTGTTTGATGTCTTTACCTATCATTTGGTATATCTTTCATTCGACATACTTTTTTTTAAAATCAGACTATTTCCTTATATACGGGGGGGTTCAAATCTGAAAAATGAACACTGATTCTGATATAATATTTTTTCTGAAAAACACTTATCGTGCCCGGCGTAGCCGGGTACCCCTACCGCAATCAGTTGCCTACTTATGATGACAGCTCGTAGGGCTCCGGGTCTGGGTACCAGATAGACGAAGCCTAGTGTAACATATAATATTTCTCGGTAAAATATAGTGCTATGTGCAAATACAAAATAGTGTACTAATAAAAATACATATTACACCATATAATTGAAGTTCAGAATAAACGTATGAGGAGAAATGAGTTAATGCGCATATTAAAACCATGCGCGTGAACATAAAAAAAAAAAAAAAATGCTCGTAAAACGGTGAAAAATGAACGGATTGAATTGATTTTTTTATCATATCTCAGGAATGTCATTGGGCGGGTCTGATGAAAATTTCAAACCTTAAGTCGTAAAACGCTGGCGTCAGCGAGCGTTTTTCTCGAAAACGGTCGAAATTTTAAAACGCTCGCGGGCGAGCGGCAAAAATTTTCCGACCTTTGCCAATAATTTTCCCGGAGTCTGGTGACCGAGTACTTTCGTTGAAAAAAAATTTTTTGAAAATCCGAGCACGCTAAGTAATTTTCCCAGAAAAGCGTTTTTTTCCTTGTTCTATTATATAATAAGATATTGACATTGATATTAATTATCAATTTCCTTTTTTTTCAATAAACGAATGAATAATACCTGATTAATAAATTATTTTACTTACATAATTACTGTACGTCTCCTTTTCTTTGACGGTTGCTGTTTTCATAATATGATCCATATCATCGAACCACGGCAATAAAGGCTTGTACACAAGATTAGTGCCGGAACCACTAGATTTACTTTTTCCTATTTTAGCCAACTCTAAATAATATGTTGAACGCAGAGCCTTAATTTTTTTGGCTACCTCTTTAATTGTTAAATTTAATTCGGACGCGATAGCTTCCATAGATGAACTCCTTGCATTACGATTACGGTACTCCGGGATAAACATGTTCCACAGATTTTCGTGCTCGCGGTATAATTGCACGAATTTACAAGTGGTTTCCTCATTCCAGCGGTTAGCCATTTCGATTTTTCGATCTCAGTTTTAACTTTTACACACGTGTCGATGTACTGTTATCATTGATAGTTAAAAATATTATATCACTGTTATAATCCAGTAGTTGACGAGTGACTGTTGCTGTTTACACGATGCCAGTTAGCTGTTGTCGTTGTGGTGATGTAGTGGAGGGGGGAAGCTGTCGCGCCAGCAAAACAAAATAATTTGTTTTACTGGCAATGTCATCTGCTGGCACGCCAGTGACCACTGGCTTTCTCCAGTTGCTGGCAGATTATGTTTAGACGTTGCCAGCCGCTGGCATTCAGTAACTGGCGACTTCGACTGGTACGTCGACTGGCATCGTGTAAATCAGCCTTGATTGTTAATCGTTGTATGATATCAATCAATATAAAAAATACTCAAATTCAATTTATTTTATCCCTATTGTACTTTACTTCTCGATTATAATGTGTTGTTGAAAATAATATTACTGTTGAAATTTGCTTGCGTAAATAAAAGTTGAATTTTAAATTACAAAAAATGCTATTCAATAGGAAATTTCAGGAGTGCTTTTTTGGGCTCCGAATAGGCTTAATTGCTAGTGTTTATCTCGTCCATTTTGATTGGCTCATAATTTTTTTCAATGAGTAAAACAGTGCGATAATAACGCTATCTAACAGATATTTACGACCAAAGTCATAAAAAGAGCATTTCCGAAGATTTTTATTGCATGGTTTATATCGATTTGTATTTAATCAACGCCTTACATAGTACACATACTCTTTAAGATTCACTTAATTTTGTTCTTTTTTCCCCGTATTTCCGAAAACGATAGTCGTTTAGGGGAATATGAGATAGAACAAACACCTTAAGATTTGAATAGTCATAACTTACTACATTATAAAGAGATAAAATTAACACCATTTAATCACAAATATTGTGTAGTGACCGAAATTCTATTTTTAAGAATTGACTTAAATGTAAATTATAAATTAATTTTTTTAACGTAAAAAAATTAACATTTTAACTCAAAATTGGGGCAAAATTAAATTACACTTTACTTTTTTTTTAGTAGGACAAAATGAATTTTATGAATATATTTTGGCCCGGCTGACTTTTTCAATTAAGCTTTAATTACTTAATTCTATGTAAACATAATTGAACTGAATTAAGTTTATTAAAATAATTAAACTTACCTTTGTTGTAGAAAAGTTTCTATTTAAAATCTAATATATTAATTGATAAAATTCTTAATTTTGATAACTACAGTTTTTACATCATTGGACGTAAATTAAGATATTTAATAATAACATAAGAGAAAATAATCTAAATAGAAAATATTATTTTTTACTCAAGAGCATAAATATAATCAATTATATTTAATGTATTTTGATTTCAGAATTACAATTAGAAAATTTTCAAGCACAATTTTTATTTTGCCTCACCTACCTTTTTCGCCCCACATTTATCTATAAAAATTTAAAATAGACAAACAATTTTTTTATTGATGTGATGTTATTTATTTAAAAGACAATGCAATTCCAAAAGTCTACTATTATTCCAATCATTTGTAATGGTTCAAATATAGATGTAAAAGACAGACTTTTGTATTACTCCCAATACAGTATGACAGTTACTGTATTCTGAAAACTTTTTTAGCATTAATACCAAATACTATTTTAAATATTTGAAATATTAAAAAAAGTATTTTTATTCCTATAATTAAGATATAACTCCAACAAAATGTCATTATGGTTTTACCATCATTATAATTTTCTAATGCGGATGAAATAAACTATTGGTCCTATAATTGCGTGAACGATCTTATTATTGTTTATTAAATGTTAAAATCGATGATAAACGACATTTAGATCAATGATAATGAGAGTTTTTCCTATGGATAAGAGTAGGTAATCATCAGATAATGATTGCCCATGAATAATAATGAACAACAGCCAGTTTAATCTGCATGCGTCAAATTATTAACACAGAAAATATTTTTATATAGTCAGTGTTATCATCAATGCTATACAAGAGTTATTTTTAATTTCAACGTTATAACATAATCATAAAAAGTAACTTGAAAATCTAAAAATGCATTCTTTTTTGTGTAGAAGAAATTGTCTAGATGTTATATGGATTTATAATCTACTAAATAATAAAATCAATTGTCCCGAAATTTTAAACTTAATACCGATGAACGTTCCTCAAGTATCTCTCCGTTCCTATCCAATGTTTTATATATCTATTCATACACAAAACTATAGTAGAAACGCTCCGGTAAATCGAATGTTGAATTTATGTAATAAAATAAATAATTTTGATTTTTATCATGATTCTTCAACATCATTATGGTCTATTTGTTGTAAAACGTTTAATTCATAATACCATAATTACATACACTTTTTTAGCTAACTTGTTTGTAACGTATTTAGTATTAATGAATTTTTATAATCATTTAATTATTAAGTTAATTTCATTATGTACTATTTAACATTGTATTTGTTTTTTTTTCTATGTTATTATATGTACTATTTGTCTCACAGGCGTAATCATCCATTATGATGAAATAAATAACGTGACTTTTTATATATATTTCGGTTTCGGTAGAAATTTTGGTTTTCAATTTATAAATATTTCAGTATGCTTTAGTATGCTATTTTTTTTCAATCGTTAAGTTAGTTTACGCTAGCCAATTTTCAAAATTAGAGTGGTGTAACTTGAGAAACTACAGAGTAAAGTGGTTTCTTGCTTGCTTTTGTAGTAAACTTGGCTATTTAATAACATTTTGAATATTGTAGGATTTTTAAAATGAAAAAGACGTGTTTAAATTCTTTTTTTTAATTTTTTATCTAATTGATAAGTTTAAATCATTTTTTTTAGAAATTATCATATTTATATTGAAAGTCATTATTTTTAATAAGGATGATAGTTTTACAGTTGATCTTTATCATAAATTGTACAATGAACACGAATGAAATAAAAAAAAACATCAGATCTACCGAAAAAACATAATTATTTTCAGTTATGGAAAATATAACTAGTATTTTACGGTCCAAGAATATTTAACTCAAAATAGCACAATTAAATAAAATTGTCGTAAAACATTTCAGTTCTTTCCGGTGAATATAAACGCTACTGAATTTACTTTAGTTTGTTATTTGTTTTCCCGTAAAAATTGTGAATACATTCAAGTTTACAATAGTTAAATTTTATTTTTGTTTTAATTTATCATAAATTGAGAAATGACGAAGGGATCCAATGTTAAAATACAATTTATTTATTTATCACTTTTAGTTTAACAAAGATAATAGTTTATGTTATTTGTACTGCTCGAAAAAAAATGTATCTTAAAGAAACGTTTTTTCTTTGGTCGATTTCTATTTTATTGAATCAAGTAATTTTTTTTTTCGATGGTATTTATTTTAAATATAAGAATAACAGATTACATTACTTTTTATAAAAAAAGGACGGATTAGCTTTGCCGAAAGGTACTAGAGTAGCTGTTCGATTTGATAAATTTGAATGGTTTGTTAATCAAATGTTCGGACAAACGAAAGAAATTAATATAAAGAGAAATGGTGGAGCAGATCTTGTCGATATATTTCTTACGTTTGATTTTGATTTTATTATACAAAAAGTACGTAGTCTAGTATATTACGTTTAATAATTATATTTTTTTTTTTTTATAAAATACTTTTGGTTGAATTTCAGGTGAGTTTAGAAGTGATTATGTGCAAAGAACATTACATCGATTGTGTGAACTATAGGAGTTTTGAAGTGGCAAATTTCTGCGAGAATGATAAAACTATTTCTTACTTCGCGAAAATTGGATATTCTAATCAAAAAATGTCGTGTACATTTCAAAAAGTAAATCAATTTTATTCTAAAATTAGTTTTAATAATTTATTTTTTATTTGGATACTTTTTTTTTTAAGGGACCATACATATTTAAAAACTCTACAATTAACTTGGATACTATAACTAAATCGTTTGCCCTGAACTCTGATAAGTGGTGGGAAAAGACGTGGAAATTTAGAGTTGATTATTATTTTAATATTACCTTGTTGGCTATGCGTCATTACGGAGATGTTCAAATCCTTCTCCTGAGTAATCGGACTCGCAGATATTAGATAAATATTTACTCTAAGAGTCGTCATTAAAATTTATTTTTGATACATATAGATATCACCTAAGGCCTCTAAGGTGTCAATGGAGTATACTATTTAGAAAGTGCTGGTGGCAGGGTAATCATCCAATTTTTTCACAACATTTATATTGTACTGCATTTAAATCCGTATAAATATTCAATTAAAAAATAAACGTTTTGTGCATATATTATATTAATTTTAATAGTTTATTTCGATAAATATTTTAATATTTTTTTTGCATAATATACAAGTATGCATATTAAAATGTTTAATGCAATATTATTATTTAAAAAATATTAAGTGCATATAAATCTTCATTAGATCCATGATTGACGACAAGTGTTATTACCAGTAAACTACTATCAGATTGCTATAAAAATTACCTTAGTTACAAAATAAAGGTGTGTCAGGCAAGTGGAACCGACTGAAAGGGGCATATTGAGAGAGAGAGAGAGTGTGTGCTCAATTGAATGAAAACTTAATTTTCTAACCAAGTTTTACTTTTGTTGGTGCGCCTGGTATGTTTAAAAGACTCGACGGTACTCAGTTAGTATGAACGTTCAATATTGGACATTCAAAAAACTTTCTTGGTCCGAGGTCACTATAACCGATCCAGAGCTGATACGTTTGGACAAATTAATTTATAACCGCACGAAATCTAGCTGGTATAAGGAACCGAATAGTTATTAAAAAATTAATCCAATATGGTATTTTACCACCTGCTTATATATTCGTGTCATATCTTGTACCTATTTTAATTTAGTGTTTATAATTCTGTTGGAACGTTAATAATTTAATTTATTACGTGTTAACTGGACCTAAAATCGCTAATACAATGTACGTTTAGTACGTTCGTTATATTAAGAGTACGTATTAAATGTTTTAATAGAAATGTTAATTAATGCATTTTTCCATACTAAGCAAATGTATTTGATGAGAATAATAAAAAAACAACGCTGCGTAAATATATAAATACATAGAACAAATGATTTTTTTAAGTCCAATAAAATGGACGTACCAAAGATATTTATAAAAAAAACACGTTTTGACTGGTTCATTTTTCAACAACTTACGGTTAACTTTAAGCGAAAAACTTTTAAAAATATCATCATTTTTGGAGGATTTACTTATAGTTTCGTTAGGACAATGTTACGTACTATCGATGTCATTGAAACGTTTCGAAGGCACGTGAAACATCCCCTCATACATTGTTACTATAGTTTAGATGGAATACCCTTGGTAATTAGTCATTAATAATTGTTTATTTGTATTGTTCAATAAACACAACCAGTATGTTTTTTAATGAACATATTTCATATGACGAATTGATCGGACGCTTGGGGCGTTTATTTGAAACATTTCATGTAAGTTTTTTTAAAATAGCGTAAGGATGTTTTTATCTTGTTGTGATGTGTATCTTGATAAGATGTGTATCTTAGTTTTATTTGTATAATGTTTATAAAACCTATTCCGTGTGCATTTGAAACTGCGCTATCCACATAATAAAACAAAACGACTACTTAAAATTTAAATATAATTATTTCACTTCACGAACTTCTTTTATGAATAAAAAAAATAAATATATAATTAAATAATACAATCATTAACAAATTTAGTTGGACTTTAAAATAAAACTGAGAAACTCATGGAAAAAAATACACAAGTTCATTTAATACATCAAAAACTTTGATTTAATTTCTTATTAAATAATAATAAAATTATAAACTTTGTTTATTGTAAAACAAAATCTTTTATCTAATTGCTTTTAAAATTTGTATTCGGTTGTGTAGGTATTTTTATTTCTTTGTCTAATGGAAAAGCAATTGTTTCAGTATTGAATTATAATATCAAACCAAAGGAGTGGTAAAATCTTTGAGTTGTATTAATATTACAGTATTAAACTATTATAAAAGTACAAAGTGTGTACGCGAAAATCTTAGTAATGTATAAGAATTACTGATCATTTTTTTTTCTATTACCAAATTCACAGAAATTAATTTGTTATTGCATATCGTTTTAGTATGTGGATTTATTCGTTATTATTTTGAGCATCAACGGATAAACTCCCCTTTAGGAGTGAGAAAGGTCTAATGACCATCATTAAAATTGGACAAAATAATGTTTTAGTATAAAAAAAAAAACTCAGCACAGGGGGGTCGCGGCATAGTTGGATCAAGTATAATGATATCTGACAGTGATTAAAATCACTATAAAAAAAAAACGCTTCGATGCAAATCTTTAGATAGTGTTTAATTTTAAAAAATTGGTGTATTATTCCAAAAGCTTCATAAACTGCTAGTTCCTTATTAATATCCTGATTAAGACAAAGTATGTAGAATAAAAAAGAGATTATTAGAAAATAGTATTTCCCATAAAAAAATTATATTGATCAATACACTTTTCAATAAGTTATAGCATTATAATGTTAAAAATGTAAAAAAAAAAATTGAGAATTTTCACACAATAATAGCATTTGGTAGCCATTTTCACCTTGAAGATAAAATAAAGTCCGAAATTTTTTTTT